GACCAGGAAGTAGGTCTCAGAACAGAGCAGGGAAATACTGCATGGTTCAAAATCAGGAAGGGCATATGTCAGTGATGCGTCCTGTCTCCAAGGTTTTTCAATCTATATACAGATCTTTCTGGAGGCTGGGCTTTATGACGAGGAATGTGGATCAGGATCAGAGGAAGACTCATCAACAACCTGTGTTATGCAGATGAGGAGGGACGGAAATGCTTGCTGCAGAAGGTCAAGGACTGTAGTCTTCAATATGGATTGAAGCTAAACATCAAGAAAACAAAGATTCTCATCATTGGGTCAAGTGGAAACACCATGACAGATGGAGAAGGCTTTGAAGTTGTTAACAGTTACAGTTTACTAGGCTCCACAATCAACACTATTGGCAACAGCAGTCAGGAAATCAAATGACAGATTGTAATGGGGAAAACCTGCTGTCAGGGATCTCTCCAGAATACTGAAAAGCAAAGATGTCAATTTAGAGACTAAGGTGTGCCTGACCCAGGCCATGGTGTTTGCAATTATTTACTATGAATCAGAGAGCTGGACAATGACTAAGGATGACAGAAGTAGAATTGATGTCTTTGAGTTGTGGCGCTGGAGCAAAGTCTTGAACATTCATGGACTGCCAAGAAAAAAAATAGGTCTGTCTTAGAGAGAGTGAAACCAAGTTTCTCCTTGGAGGCTAGGATTTTGAAGCTCTGTCTCACATACTTTGGGCATGTGGCCAGGAGGGACTGGTCCTTGGAGAAGGCCGTCATGTTCAGAAGTACAGAGGGACAGCACAGGAGAGGAAGACCCCATAGAGATGGATTGATTCAGTAACTAAGGCAATAGGTGTAGGTGTGTTGGAGTCAGTGAGACTGGCTCAGGACAGGACAGGCTGAGAGCTGTTGAACATAGGGTCACTAAGAGTTATAGGTGACTTGATGGCAACGCAATATTTGCATCAAGCTTAAAAAACACATCAGCTTTACTCAATCGATAGTCTTTGAGTTAGAACTGAATCATAGCTGACATAACGCTGGCTTTCTATCTCTCCCCCTCAGAGCTATTAGAGGAATTGAATGGCCAGAGGTAGGTTTCTGGTTAACAGTGCAATTTTCTTCAGCCACCAAAACTCCCTAATATATGCGATGTGTTGCCGTTGCTGCTGTTGGTGTGGTCCATCAGGTCAGATCCAACTCTAGCAACTCTAGTAACCTGCTAGCTACTTTTCAGAGGCAATACACTCCTCAAGAGGAGATAACCAATCTTTTTCCTGTAGAGCAACTGGGAGATCTGAGCCATGAGTAGTGCAGTTCCGTAACACTAGGCACCAATGTCCTCTATTACACATGTAGGAACTGTTAACATCATTTCAGAAATGTATAAACTAAGCCTACATTTGTGAAAGGAAATCAGTGGTGGAAAGTTTACAGGGTATAGATTATTGATATTTTTTTATTGTGATTTGAGTGAAGGAAGGTTTAGAAGGAAAATTACTTTCCAATTATTTATACATGTTTTGTTTTATAACAATAATTACAATATTCACCACATAAACCCACTTTCTCCACTCTCTTCCTTTAATTCTAACTTCCACTAATTCCTCTATTGTACTTCTTTCCCCTTTGCACTAATGCTATTCTTTTGACATTCCTACTGGTCATTTTACGGCCTGTCTGCTAAGAGTTGAGCCATAGCAGCATGTTTTGTTTCAGGTGCAAAAAGTAACTAAAGGTCACAGTCTCAAGGGTTCTACCAGTCTCTATTAGTGAAATAACCTGTTCTGTTTTATATTTTATAGTTTTATTTCACATCCACCTCCATTTTAGCAAATATTTTCTATTGTGATCTTTTTTAGAGTGGTCAGTTACAGTAACTGGGTTCCATCTAACTCTTCTGGCCTTAATGTTATGGAAGTTGTAGTTCATGTATTAAGGATGGAGTGTTTCCATTCAACTTTTCTCTTAATCCCTTTTCTCTGTTACAGACACAGAGAAGTAGTTGCACTTAAGATGACTATTCTCAACTTTTTTAAGATTACAGTCACTGTTTACCAATGTAGGATATAGAACACTGTCTTTGTGAATCTTGTTATGCCAATTGTCCTATCTATAGATACATCCTAAGACTATGATTTCAAGTCCCCAGAATCAGCAACTCATTCCCTTAGAGTATTTGGTTATGATTTAGAAGCTTATGAAGTTTTACCCTGTTGGCTCTGCTTTGAACATGGATAAATTTACAACATATCCTAATATGAAGAAATATCATCTGGCAAGCCCACAGGTGGCTGTGAATGTAGTCCTTTTCACCAATCTCAAATGTGTTTGTCTTCCAGATTTCTGAACTCTTGACTGAATTTCTCTTGCCATTTTATTGCACTTCACCATGTTGTTGTTAAGTGTCAATGAGTTAAGCAGGATCCCTCAGTGACTCTATGAACAATGCATCTGAACTCTGTCCTATCCTGTGCCATCCTTACCATCTCTGAAACACTCAAGCCCATTGCTGCAGCCACTATGTCAAATCACCTGATTGAGGGTCTCCCTCTCCTTTGCCACTTTCCCACCTTTCCAAGCATGATGTCTTTCTCCAAGAAATAATCTCAAAGTACATGAGATGAAGCTTTATTATCCTTGCCTCCAAGGTACATTGTGGCTGTACCTTCTTCAAAACATATCTGTTTGTTCTCTTGACAGTCTGTGGGATTTGCAGTCCTTCTCCAAAGCCACAACTCAAAGGCATTGATTCTTCCTCTGCCATCCTTATTCATAGTCCACCTTTAAAATGCACAGTACGTGTCTGAAATGGCATGGATTGAATCAGACACACTTTTTGTCCTTAAGTGGACATCATTACTCCTTCATAATTTAGAGAGGAATCTGACTGAAGATTTTCCCAGTGCAATATATCTCCTGATCTCTTGACTGCTAGTACAAAGTTCATGACTGTGGATCCCGGTAAGATGAAGTCATTGACAGTTTCAACTTTTTCTGTGTTTATCATGATATTGCCTATTGGTACAGAGGTGAGAATATTTGTTTTCTTGATGTAGAGATGCAACAGCCATAATCTTTGATCTTCCACAGCAAGTATTTCTAATCCTCCTCACTTTCTGCAAGCAAGGTTATGTCATCTGTATTCTGAAGGTTATTGATGAGTCTTCTTCGAATCCTGATGTCACATTCTTCTTCACAGAGTCTAGCTTCTTGAATAAAATTATCAGTATAGAGAATGAATAGGTATAGAGGAAGGATACAATTCTGATGCACATCTTTCTTAATTTTAAACCTGAAGTGTTCCCTTGTTTTGTCCGCATAACAACTTCTTGGTCTAGGTATAAGTTTCACATGAGCACAATTAAGAGTTCTGGGGTTCCCATTCTTCTCAATGTTAGCCCAAATTTGTTATGATCCACACAGCCAAATGCCTTCATTTCCCCATGAAATAATATCAAAGGAAAGAATACTTATCTGAAAATAAGTGAGAAACAATCACTTTAAAGAAAAGGGATCTAAGAGAACAAAGAAACTAGATTAATGAAAATAGAAGAACCAAGATGGAAATAATGAAAATACTCATGCATTGTGAAGAATGTAACCAGTGGCAATGAACAACAAATGCAGAAACTATAGAACGGTAACCTATGTAAGCCTTTACATAAAATAAAAAAATACCTTATTAAAAAATAAAAATCTACAGTTAATGCATAAATTCTTCAAAAAGTATCATCTCTAATTTCAAAAGAAATACCTGTTCCAAAGTTTATATATTTCTTTTAAATAGTTCTGTGTTTTAATTTCCCAAAAGAAATGGGAAATTTTTTTGACATGAGGCAGCCTGACCTCAATGTCTGGCTCATGTTTTTATTTCTAATGATTACAAAGAAAGCAAATTCTTTTTAATTTAGATTTTTAAATTTATAGGATGGGCTACAGCTGGTAATTTGTTAACATTCTAAAAATGAACAGATGTGGGAGGAATCACACAGACTGTCTGTTAAAACCCTTTTGTACTTATTTGAGCCTCTTCCAGAATGCTCACAGTAGTAGTAGTCAAGATGTAACGGGTTCCTAGTCCCTGGAAACACCTGTTCTGCCTAAGAAACAGCTAGCAATAGAAATAGCAGGGACCCTGTTGTAACAAGCTATCCACTGTATCTAGGACACATCTGTAGGGACATGGTTTGGACAGGCATCAACTGTTTTTTCAAAGGTCTTCTGACACCTTTATCCTCATTTCAAGCACATGGAATGATAACATTAACTGAGGCTAATGACATGTCAATGAAATTATAGAGTTTTCAGTCTTTATAGGAATTGTATTCTTTTCACTCTCAGATTATTTGATACATTAAACGACCTGGAGTATTTCATTTGGTTAGCAAATGGTTAAAACAGAAATTAGTCCTTTGACAAATGAGTTTAAGATATTATAGAAAAGATAATTGTTTCAAGCAAATGATAATTATTTCTAATAATTAGTTTAATTATTAATAGTAAATGAGTTTTAAACAGGCAGCTTTTAGAACAATTATTTGCCATGAAATTGGTAGGTTTAAGGAGGAAAACAAATGTATAAAATTATTTTTAAAGTTCTTAAAGATGTTTCGTATGATGTAAAAGACCATACAAGAGAGACTAAATAATATTCTTTACTTGAAAATTGTACATATCTAAAACAATCTTTGAAGAATTATTTAGATTTTCACAGGGAAGACTTCCTAATTAATTTTTGGTATGTATTGTTTGTGTGCCTACACATATTTATATAGAGAGAAATGTATATTTCTAAATAAATATATCCCTGTGGTAAAGCATTATTAATACACCAATTACATTACTATTATTTCCCTGGATATCATAGATACTATATAAAATATTTGGATTTGACTATGTTCATAAATTTGTTGCCCTGGAAAGAAGAGTATTTATTTTATTCCAAGAACCATGAGCACAGTATGAATATGTCCTCCAACTGGTGTTTGTTGGAAAGGGGTGAAGTTAAAATTTTCTTACCATCCAAGCCGTGACAAAGTCCCCCATCCAGGTCCCTACTGCAGCTAATTTCATGAAACTTTCATTTCGGATGCCCATATAGTCAGTAATGATATATGCTCTGTGGAAACAAACACACAAAACATTGTCCAGACTCAGAGAGCCATACAATCAAAGGCTTCCAATTCAGCAACATGCAGAGGAACTTCTCACCTTCTCAACAAGCTTTTCTTGCTTTGTCTCACCACATATGCTTACAAATCTGAAAGCCAAAGAAGAGCTCTGAGGGTGTCTGGGCAGTTTCAATTAGATTTGAAGATTGGATGTAGCTACACCAATTACCATTTGTGTTTCTTTTTTGAGCTGTAAGACTGACAATAGCTTTTAGAAAATCAAACAGAAATACTCAGCAAAGGCTTCATTTCATGCTTGCTCAAGTATGAGCAGAGTGGAAACATTTTGTGAATTAGAGTAACTTGAAAGGGAAGATAAGAACTTTCCTTCAGTTCTGTCAAGTCAAAACTATAAAAAGTACTGAGACTATGTTTAAGATATAATGTCTACCTTGAATATTGTTCAGAATAACATCAAGATTTGAGGGAAAGAAATCCACAAGGAAACAATATAAAATGTCAAATATTACTTGGATAGCAATAACTGAAAATTTTCACTCAACGCTTTGTTCTTTTTCTCAGATTTTCCTTGTTCTAACACCAACACATATTCTTCACAGCTCAGAGAGAGATTCAGACTTTCAGTCTTGGATTTAAAATTTGCTATTAAATGCCAGTTACATGATTAACCTTATTGTTTACAAATAATTTTCATTTTTTCATATGATACTTAAAAATCCATGAGCTTCCCATCTGATGTTTTTTGTTGAGGTTTTTTTGGTTTTGTGTTTAGTTTTGTTTTTTTTTTATCTGAGAAAGATCATACCTTAGCTAGATCATCTAACTTCGCCAGTACCATATAATTAAAGAATAGTGCTTAGGAAGTCTATTTGTCTCTGTGTGTCTCATTTTTTTTTACTCTAAATTTTACTTTCATTTTGTTCTTTTTCTTAGACATAATTTGGAGTATGAAATGTATTATTTCTAGATTAGTTTTAAAACAACATGATAGTGATATTTCTATTGCTTATCTACTGAAACTATGGAGAAGCACACAAAGTTACGGGGATAGAAACCATTGCTAATTCATTTTTGTCTGGCTCCAAAGTCAACACTCTTAGCACCAGTAGCCAGGAAATTAAAAGACGTATTTCAATGGGAAAGTCTGCTGTTAGGGACCTCTCCAAAGTACTGAAGAGCAATGGTGTCTCTCTGGAGTCTAAGGTGCCTCTGATACAGGACATGGTCTTTGCAATCACTTGTTATACATCAGAGAGTTGGACAATGACTAGGGGAGATAGAGGAGAATTCATGCCTTTGAGCTATGGTGCTGGAGAAGAGTATTGAATGTACCATGGACTGCTAGGAAAACAAACAGATTCATCCTGGAGAGGGTTAAACTGAGTGGCTCCTTGGAGGCAAGGATTCTGAGGCTCTGTCCGACATACTTTGGACATGTTGTATGGAGGGACAGGTCTTCATCCCTGAAGCAAAAGGCATTTAATGATTACTAAATTTCGTGTTAATGTTGCTGTTGTTGAGTGCCATTGAGTCAATAACTCACGGTGACACTATTAACAATGAATCTGAACATCTCATGCCCTAAACTGTGTCATCCTTATCTTCTCTAAAATACATGATCCCACTGTTTCAGTAACTGTATCAATCATACTGTTTGAGCGTCATCCCCTCATTTGCTGACACTTTACCAAGAACTGAGCAACATGTCCAAAGAATGTGAGACAAAGTTTCACTATCCTTGCTTCCATGCACCACCCTGACTACACCTTTTTCAAAACATCTGCTCCAAAAACACATTTCAAAGGCATCAATTCTTTTTTTGTCATCCTTATACATTGTCCAACTTTCAGATACATAGCAAGTAAACGAGATGATTTGTGGTTTAGATCAGGTGCAGTTTAGTGTTCAAACTGACATCACTGCTCTTCAGAACTTTGGAGAGGTCTCCAACAGTAGACTTTCCCCATTGCAAATCATCTTTTGACTTCCTGGTGCTAATGTCAAGGGTTCTTCTCTGAGAGGCAAAGGGAAGAAATCAGGAAATTGAGGAACTTATAAGAAGATTTCAAAGGGAAGCTCAAGAAGACAAAGTATTACATTGATATGTGCAAAGTGAAGTCAGAATGTCAAAAGGAATGAACTCACTCAGAATTTCTTAAGCTGAAGAAACTTAAAACAAAGTTAAGCCTTGAGGTGCAATATTTAAAGATGCTATGAACAGAATACTGAATGATCTAGGAAGCATTAAAAGGTGATGGAAGGAGAACACAGAGTTACTGTACCAAAAAGAATTGGCTGACACAGAAGAATTTAATGAAACAACTTAGGAACAAGAGGCAATGTTGATGAAAGAGGAAGTACTAGCTGTTCTGAAGTAAGTGGCAAAAAACAAAGCCCCAGGAATTGACAGAAAACCAGTTAACATATTTCAGCAAACAATGTAGCCCTGGATGTGCTCACCATGTTGTGCCAGGAAATATAGAGAACAACTTGCTAGCCAACAGACAGGAAGAATTCCATATTTATTCCTATTCCAAAAAGAGGTTATACAACAGAGTGTGGAAATGATAGAACAATATCCAGAGTACTGAAGAGCAATGATGTCAGTCTAGAGACTAAGGTGTGTCTGATCCAGGCCATAGTCTTTGTTATTACTTTCTATGCATCGGAAAGCTGGACAATGATTAGGGATGATAGAAAGAGAATTGATACCTTTGAGCTGTGGTGCTGGAGTATTGAATATACCATGGATTGCCAGGAGAACAGATAGGTTCTTCCTGGAGAGGGTGAAACCAGGCTGCTCCTTGGAGGCAAGGATTCTGAAATTTCACCTGAAATACTTTAGGCATGTTGCAAGGAGGGACCAGTCCTTAGAAAGGAACTTCATGCTTGGAAGGGTAGAGGGACAGCACAAGAGAGAAAGACCCTTGATTGATTCAATGACTGGGGTAATGAGGGTAGGTGTATCAGAAACAATAAGGTTGGCACAGGATAGGGCAAGTGTCAGGGCTTTACACAGAGTCGCTATAAGTTACAAGTGACTCGATGGCACGTAACAACAATAGCATCACTAATATCACACAGAAACAAAATCTTGTTGAAGATCATCCAAAAACTGGAACAATATACTGACAGAGAACTACCAGAAATACAAGCTGGGTTTAGAAGAGGTCAAGGCACTAGAGACATTATCAGCATTGCCAGATATACCTGGCTAAAAGCGGAGAGTATCAGAGGAATGAATATCTATCTATCTGTGTTTCATTGACTATGCAAAGACATTTGACTGTGTGGATCACAACAAATTGTGGCCAACCTTGAGAAGAATGGGAATCCCAGAACACTTGATTTTGCTTATGTGAAACCTGTATTTGGATCAGGAAGCAATCATTAGAACAGAGCAAGAAATACTGCATGGTTCAAAATCAGAAACAGAATGTGTCAAGGATATGTCCTGTGTCCATACCTTCCCAATATATTTGCATAACAGACCATTCAGGAGGCCAGATTTTATGAGGAGAAATATGGCATCAGAATTGGAGGAAGATTAATCAACAATCTGTGTTATTCAGATGACACAACTTTACTTGACAAAACTGAAGAGGGCCTGAAGGGTTTGCTTCAGAAGGCCAACGACTATAGTCTCCAATAGGGACTAAAGCTCAAAATCAAGAAAACAAGATTCTCACCACTGGACCAATTTGAAGCATCATGATAGACAGAGAGGAAACTGACAGATCGTTAGCAATTTCAGCTTTCTTGGCTCCTCAAACAACACTCTTTGCACCAGCAGTCAGGAAATCAAAAGACGAACTACATTAGGAAAATCTGATGTTAGCTACCTCTCCAGAATGCTGAAGAACAAAAACATCAGTCTAGAGACTAAGGTGCAACTGATCCAGGTCATGGTCTTCATAATCACTTGCTATGCATCAAAGAGCTGGACAATGACCATGGATAACAGAAGAATCAATGTCTTTGAGCTGGAGGAGTATTGAGTGTTCCAAGGTCTGCCAGGAGAATAAACAGGTTTATCCTGGAGACGGTGAAGGAAGCAAGGATTTTAAAGCTTCACCTCACATACTTTGGACATGTTGCATGGAAGGATCAGTCCTGGAAAGGGCATCATGCTTGGAAGGATGGAAGCATGGAGCAGAAGAGAAAGACCCTGGATGAGACAAATTGACACAGTGACAAGAACAATGAAGGCAGGTGTGTCAGAGTCAGTGAAACTGGCTCAGGATAGGGCAGGGTTCGGAGCTATTGTACTTAGGGTCACTAGGAGTCACAGCAACTTGATAGCACATAACAACAATAGTGTCAAGGGTGTTGATTGTTGGTCCAAGCATGATGAAGTCATTTTAAATTTCTCTCTTCTCCATTATCCTGATGCTGCTTACTGGTCTGCTGGTGAAGATTTGTGTTATCTTGGTGTTAAGAAGTAATCCATATTGAAAGCTATAGTCTGATCCTCTGCAACACGCATTTCAAGTCCTCCTTACTTTCAGCAAGCAAGATCTTGTCATCTGCATAACGCAGTTTGTTGATGAGTGCAAAAATTTGAAACAAAGAAGAAAGTCTGGTAGCCATAAATTAGAATCTTCATGGTATGTTCCCAGTAGTGGGATAGCTGGGTCAAATGGTATTTCTATTTCCAAATTTTTGAGAAATTGCTAGATTGCCCTCCATAGTGACCCATATTACATTCCCACCAACAGCCAATAAGTGTTCTAATCTCTCCACAATCTTGCCAGCATTAGTAGTTCATTGTCCTCTTAAAATTTTCCTTTGTTGCTGAGTGAGATAATATCTCATAGTTGTTTGATTTACTTCTCTCTGGTTGCCAGGGATTTTGATGTTTGTTGGCCACCTTCTTTAACAACTGAAACACATGTATGCACATCTATGGTTACTATAACACTATTCACAATAGTCAAGAGATGGAAGCAGTCCAACTGCCCACCAACAAACAAGTGAATAGAAAAAC